TAGCTCTATAGCTAGCATATAAATAATTTTAAACTTATCTATGATTTTAAACGCAAATCAATTAAAAGTTATAAGTTGATCAATTCTGATTGTATTTTTTCAATTGTAAAATGATCTATTATCAATTTCATCAGTATTTTTTTTTTATCTAAACACGTAACTGTTTATTTGAGAAATCGTTTTTTTTTTCTTCTAGGGTATTACTCATATGGAGGAGTGGACTACAAAGTAAAAGCACCAAAGAAAGGTAGTAGTTGGAAGAGATGCAGGAGGTTAACTAGACATGCACTTAAAATAAATGCAAAATGCAAGATTGAAGAATGCACCTTCAATGGAGTGTGGAATGGTGGTGGTGGTGATGGACAAAAAAATATTCATGCTTCATCATTTTTTTATGATATTGGTGCTCAGGTAAAATTAAAATTTCTATATATATGCAACAATTTAGAAAAATGTCACTATACTAAAAAATTATTAAATCTAGCGATGGATTAATTTTGTAGCTAAACAACTTAATTCATTGCTAATCCTATTTAGCAACAAGTGTGATGGATTAGCGACGAAGTTTGTAGCTAATTTTTCATATTTTTTTTTAAGTAGTGCATGTTAGGAATGAAAAGAAGAAAACTTTTGATAATAATTATTCAAATTTGGTGATAAGGAAGTTGGTGGAGGGTATACTTATCATTTAGAGTCAGGGGAGGGGTCGCTATAGTGGCTATGATGAGCTATTCTATACGACAGGATGATCGAATGTTGACAATATTATAAGAGTTTGTTACCATCTAATTAATCTTCTTCTGACTTATCACCAATAATTTATATAGAGTTTCAAACTCAATAATGACAACGAAAAACCAGGGTCACACTCATTATAGGGCTTAACCACAACACTTTACGGCACGAGCTTGACACCTAATCATGTACCAATAAGTGTCTAGTTGTAGTTGTCAATTGTTATAATATTTATATTACTTTGGTATATAGTATGTATCATCATTTTTTGGTGTTGAATTTTGCATTGTAGGTTGGCATTGTTGACACCAAATTTCCATCTGCTCTAGCAAAGCCAATTCAATACTTAAATGCAGCTAAAGTTGCTTGCCAAACAAATGTGGCAGATATAAAATCCATATTCCCAAAAACTCAAGATAGAAATATCCCATACTTATGTATGGACTTGATATATGAGTACACTTTGCTTGTTGATGGATTTGGTAAGTATATATTTTCCAACTCTTTGAATTTAACTTATATACACTGACCAGACATTTCACTGGAACGACATTTAGGTTATTCAAATAAGGGTAGTACTTTTGGTTTCTCTGTTATTTTAATCCATGTGATATCTAACTAAGCGTACTAAGTCTTTAATAAGTTAAATTATGTGCTTTCGATCCTCTCGATACTTATACTTACCCCGCCCCCACGATACATGATGTGCAATACAAAAACTATCTAGTTGGAGCAGCATGGCCATTGGGATGTGCCATTGACTTGGTTTCTTCAACTACAAACAAAATTAGAGTTGCATCATCTTAATGTGTTGTTATGTCAATCAATTGTAATAATAATAATTTCATGTGATGACCTTTGCTTTGTTGTCCTATATTATATGCAATTAATGGGCACTACATCCAAAAATTGTGCACAATTTTTATCTACCTAAGATAGTCAAGTTGTCACTATTTGAATCGTAATATTATAAGTTCATAAATTTAGTGACCTCATATTGTTCAATTAGACTTTCATTGTTCCACGGTTGATCATTATTCCTAAAAAAGGAATAAAAAATATATATTTTAGTATATAAATGGGATTTAAAGTTGCACATAACTAAAGATTAGATAAAAATGCGTAAAATTCCAAGCAAAATTGTGTGAATGGTAGGTGAAATGGTTGAAGTTAAGACGAAACGTCTTATTTTTTTGTAACGATCAATTTGATGTGATTGTATCGTTATCTTATTTTTTAAAAATACTTTTATTCTATCATTTATCCTACCTTTTTTTATATAATCGTTTTACCCATGTACCTTACTTTTCTTGTAAGTTTATCCTTCAAACTATTGATGTGTGACACTATATAACGATGAAAAAGATACATTAATCTATCCAAATGTGATATTTCCAAAGTGTTAAGAGTTAATCACATTATTTTCCTATTCTTTTCCAAATTACACAAATCCTTTAGAATTTATGAATTTTGAATATACATTACTAGACTTCCGGATACATCAGTAGACATTTGGATGCATATGGGACGGATGTATTAGAGGGAGGATAGTGATGTATCAGAAAGGGGATATGACATCCAGATACATAGGAAATGAATGTATATGAAAGGGGAGAGATATATCTGAGAGGGAAGGGATGTTTTAGAGAGGGGAGGGAGGTATCCAAGAGGGAGATCAGAATGTATAAGCGATAGGAGAGTGACGTATCCGAGATGAGATTTTTGAATTTTCTTTTAAATGATAGAAATTTTTAGAGAATATAATAAAATAAAATGTGTATTTAGATCATTTTTTCTTAAAGCAATATAGTATAATCTAATACAACACAAAACAATATGTAACTACATGCTGAATGGTAGTCTCAAAATTAGCTGTCTAACTTCGACCATATAAACCTGTCGTCAACAAGATGAAAGTTCCAATAATAAGCCCGTTGACAAAACAAAAGCCCAATAAGGAAGGCCCATATATATATATATATCTTGGCACGTTTAGAAAAATAGCTGCTGCTTCTCCATCAGTTGCCGTCTTCAACACTGAAAGCTCGAACTCGAAGCTTTTTGGCTATGGAGGCGAACACATCAGCTACTGGACGACCCGACCCATTTCGTCTATTTGATGAAAAATCCCAATCTGGGTTCGGATTCGGGTCAGGATTTCTTGATGGCCCTGAAAAGCCTCTTCCACCTCCTCCTCCTTCTGTTGAAGTACTTCCCTCACAGGTATTTTTGTGACACTTTTTGCCTATCGAGAGTTAATTTAACTAATATTTGAAGTTAAGTTGGATTAAATTGATATGAAAGTAATATAAGTTGCAATTATTTTCATGTCCATATGATGAAGAAGAATACATTTAAAAATATTGGTAAAAAAGTTCCCATAGTTTGAATCTCGAGAAGTGAAACATGAATTGATTTTTCTTTTTAATATATTGAAAACTCATATTGTTACTTCCTGCGTTTCAATTTGTTTGTCTGTTTTTAACTTGCCACGAAACTTCAGAAAATAAATAAGATTTTTGAATCTTGTAGTCTTTAACTAAATATATGTAGGATGCACCCTAGTGTCCTTTAATCAAAGTGGTCTTTAACTAAATGTATGTAGGATGTATCCTAGTGTCCTTTAATCTTATGGTCTTAAACATGTCACGTGGAAGTTGGAATCAAATAGTGGCCAAAAAAGAAAGTGACATTCTTTTTGAAACATGCGAAAGCAAGACAAACAAATTGAAACGGAGGAAGTGCTTATTTTTTACTTTTATTTTATCTAGTATGATCATGATATGAAATGAGTTTAAATGAAGAAGTTGAGATTCATATAGCCGAACTTGACTTGTTTGGGACTGAGGCGTAGTTATTGTTATTGTTGTTGGAGTAGGTTTCATTAAATGTGGAGTTCAATGTGGAGCCTATAGATTTGGATGGCCTTACTTTGCTTAAGGTAAGATTAGTTCTATGATCTTATTAACTCTTTTTTTTTATGTGCCAAAAGATATTTTCCTTGATGAAACCATTTTTCAGTGTTTGGTTTCGTTCAATTGCGGATATGTCTTCTCTCAAAAAACTCTTTTTAGTCATTTTTCATTACAAAGATACCAGCTTTTACTTTAATTAGCTTGTTTCGATCAACTTTTTTAGATATACTTGCGAACCTGCTAAAACATATCATCATAATAACATTGTACTTATACTCTGTACTATGTCTTTTACAAGTACCAATTGTTACCTGCTTTTGTTACCAAACAAACACTTATGATTTCCTAAGGTAAAGCATTTTCCACGGAAACCATTTTTAACGGAAGAAAGGAATGATTTAGTTTAAGTTATGTTTAGTTGCCTTAACTGGTGTGCAATTATTTTCTAGGGAAGGGTCAGTACAAAGGAGGTATTTGGGTTGTCTAATTCAGATTTAATCCCCGGGAAATATGAAGGTACGTAGCAATGTAGTTCTCCATTTTGTCTCCTTCATGCTCATCACAAATACTGATACATCAACATGAATTATGTGAACTTTATTAACTTGAATGTCGTTTTTATAGGAGTATTTTAAATTTATCAAATGTGGAATAAGATGTAGTGACATCAATATTTATTGCTAAATAAAGTATAGTTTTGTAAGGGAAAGTTCATGGCAGGGCATAAGTCTTGAGAAAAAAATCCTAAGCCATTCTAAGTATAGATATGGTAGCGCTTACTGATCACTAATTAGAATGTGAAGTGCACCTAGATGACTGATATTCTCGTTTATGTTATTCTCATTTCGCAGGGGGACTGAAATTGTGGGAAGGTTCATTAGATTTAGTGAAGACTCTCAGCTCTGAGATGCAAAGCGGCAAATTATCATTGACTGGAAAAAGAGTTTTAGAGGTGGGCTCCTAATGTGGAGGTGAAATCTTTGATCTTGTATGCTATGCCTAGAGACTGCTAATCCTAACTTATTGAATCCACTCTTAGCTTTGGTTTTTCATTAACCTTCTCATTGCAGTTTTAGTCAAAATGATGTCCGATTTATTATGTTTGTTAAGCATACCAAAGTTCTTTTTCTGTTAACAACTTTTGCTTTCCCTAAATAAATCATATGCTTCTGCCAAAGAAAGAGCTATTGATAGGTGATTCTCTTTTATAGTTGTGCAAGTTTGTATCGACTATGATCACTTTAAGTTTTTATTGAATACCCGGAGAAACCGTCTTTAGGGGAGGAAATTTTGTATCTCCGATCACTCCCTTTTCGCTCAACTTCAGTTTTTCACTTGAGGAAGTCTTCTCAGTTTTTTTTACCCCTTTGATTGAACATAAATAGTTGAGGTCAAATTTGAGATTGATAGTGGAAATGTTGATTTCCTATTAAGTTTCATTATAACATATTTCAGTTCTCTCATTTAAATAAGACTTCGTCATGGTTACTGTCATTATCATTTTTATCTTTCAGTTGCGATTATCCTTGAGGGATCAACACCCTAATGCTTTTAGATTTGCCAACTAATCTTGACTCAATACTTTATTCTTGTAATTATCTTCCGTTATAATCTTGTTTACTCTCTTTCATTTGTTTTTAGCTTGGTTGTGGTCATGGTCTTCCTGGGATATTTGCATGCCTTAAGGTACATAAATGCCTTAATTGATTTTCGATTCATTGTCTCATCATCATCCACTTGACTACGAATTTTTCTTTTGTTGTACTAGGGTGCTCAGGCTGTACACTTTCAGGACTTCAATGCTGAGGTGCTCCAATGCCTAACAATTCCAAATGTCAATGCCAATATTCAACAGAACTTGTCGGCCACAGATGACAATAATAGCGCGGAAGTTCGCTTCTTTGCAAGTGATTGGAATGAAGCTCATCTGATTCTTCCTCATGTACATGCTGATGACGATGACGATGACACAAAAAACGGCCAAACAGTTGATCAGGCTGCTGGTTATGATATAATTGTCATGGCAGAGACAGTTTACTCAGTTTCTACTCTACCTAGTCTGTACAAACTTATTAAAAAGGTTTGTTTTGGTTGAAGTTCTAATTTTAGTTCTATCAGTGAATTGCCTTGCATCTGATCTTTTGCTTTTGTTCCTTCCTTTTTCTTTTTGTTGTGCAGTGCTTATGTAGTCCTCATGGAATTGTATATCTAGCTGCAAAGAAGCATTATTTTGGTGTTGGTGGTGGATCAAGGCGATTTATTTCGATTGTGGAGAAAGACGGTGTGCTACTCTGTTTAATATACCTCCTACTGCATTTTCCATTATGAACTGGATAGTTGTCCTCTAAAGATGTTGAATTATGAACTGGTTATCAGTCTTTTTTTGTGTTTTCGGTGATCATTATGCTCCTCGTTTGAGCTGAGGGTCTATCGGAAACAACCTCCCTACCCCCAAAGGTAGGGGTAATTAAGGCCAGTGTACATCTTATCCTCCCCAGACCTCAGTTGGGGGATTACACTGGGTATGTTGTTGTTGTTTGAGGATCATTTTGCTTTATTGGTCATGCCATGAGGAGGTGGAGTGCGAGGAAAGGCTTGTTTCTACTCCCCCTGCCCCCGAGTGCCTCGACTAACAATGCTTCTCATGTCTTATCTCACTCCGGTGACTGCTTTTTAGGGTTAATGAATTAGACATATTTTATCATTTGATCCATCAAACGCCTAGTTTCCTAATAGATCGAGCTCAATACTCCACTGCATCCTATTCTTACTAGAATCACATGAGCGACTAGTGCGCCTGGATGGATTATCATGAGGATTCCAGTTGCTACACACAGCTAGTGTCCAGTCCGGGTTGTGTGATCAATACAATACCTTCATATCGCTGTTAGCTTGCTCGTCTGCATTGCTTATCATGCACTATCCTACTGATCATCATTGCTTTTAACCCTTTTCGTTATTTCCAGTTGATGTTTTAAGAGAATACTCATGAGTTTCTTGTTTTCTTCATCAGGTGTTCTAGCAGCTTCTCTCGTTTCCGAGGTTACTGATGGTTCCTCGAATGTTCGAGAAGTCTGGAAGCTTCACTTCAGGTGAAGTGTAGTTCTAGTTTCATCTCTGTAAAATGAGGAATCGTTACTTTTAAAGTAGATGAATCAAATTGTGATGTTTCAACCATAAACTATTGTTTAAGCATTGCTTGCAGTTCTCTTCTTCTTCCTACGTGACTTCTTCACTATTGTATTTAATTTCCTTTTCTTACTGATTTTGTGAGTTGAGGGTCTATCGGAAACAATCTCTCTGTATTCACAACGTAGGGGTAAGGTATGTGTACACACTACCTTCTGCAGACCCCACTTGTGAGATTACATTAAGGTTTTTCCTCAAATCTAACATCTCCGACTTCTATTGTTCTAAAATGGCATACAATTGTTAACACAAACAACGATACAAAACATATATGTGCCTCAAACCCAAATAGTTGGTATCAATTATATGAATCCTCAGTATTGTGGCCTTATCTAGAGACCGACTATGTGAGTAACCTCACAAAAATGGAGCTAGACCAGATAGGGACAATCACATAATATTAGTCAATAAACTTAGTCGACTAAAGCATAAAATAATTTCAAGTTTGATGATATAAGTTGACATATTCAGGATTAAATTTGAGATTAATCAAATACTGTATAAATCTAAAATTCAATTTAATTCTAAAATATCCACTTTATTCATCTATGATATTGACTCTACAAAACGGCGCACAAAGTTCATATACAACTAATCAAATCAAAGTCTTTGTCGAATATAACAAAAGAAAATGTGACGAACTGAGTAAAATGTCTCGAGTTTGAGATTTTTAAATGAATTTTTTTTTATTTTATAGAAAATATTTAAATATCTTAATAAGTTCATTTATATTAACGTAAATTAAAATTAATCAGACTCGTACGAATGAGAGAAATTTCCCCATACAATATAATATACGCAAAGTCTTTGTTCCATATTTCCATGCAATTGTCTAAAGTCATGATTCACATGCATTGAGCCTATTTTATTTATTTATTTCTCTATAAATTGACACTAAACAGTCTCATTAAAAAAACCTATATAATCATTTTTTAAGTGCTTGAGAAAATGTTGTACAAAGCTACACTCACCTTGTTCATTTTTTTTATATTTTTGGGTGGATTCCTCTTCCCTGCAGCACCTACAAGAATGACTACAACATGTATATATGATTTTTCGATTTTTTTGTACGAAAAAAAAAATGATCCTATAAATATTTTTATTTATGAAAAAATCATATAACTGAAAAAATGATTCTGATGTACAACATTTCTTTTGTTTTGATTCTCAGTAATATCGAGAAATTTGATACAGACTGATCGTTCTCGTTCTAAATGTGGTGCTCGTTCAATTATTACTCCGGTGGATTGTAGCCCTCCAGATCAACAAAATAGACATAATATTAAGGGATGAAAGAGCCCACGTTGCTCCCAATCGTCCTCTGAATAAGAGACGTCATCCACCTTATTATGTCAACTTTGTCCTCAGAGAAATATTATTAATGTTGTTATTGTTGTTGTTAATTAACAAGTTCGTAAAAATGTTTAGGTACTTTAGTTTTGGTGTGTATTAGTATTTATGGATTGTAATTTCTCATATTAATTAAGAGTCATATCATGAATAAAATGTTTTACATATATTGCGTGCCCATGAGGCCTAAGAATTACCAAAAAAAAGTATTACACTATACTAGTCAATAATTTTCAAGTTTGGTGAGATAAGGATATTCATAATTAAATTCGAGATTAGTCAAATATCTAATCTCAATTTAATTCTAGAATGTCCCACCTTATATTAAGTACCAAACAATTCGATCTTACAAGAAAAACAACAATAACATATTCAATGAAATCTCATAAGTTATGAGTTTGGCAAGGATAGAGTATACATAATTTTTATCACTACTTTGTGAAGGAACAAAGATTGTTTCTGGATGATCCTCCACTCTAGTGCAACACATTCAAGTATAAAGAAGAAGAAAACAATGTAGAAGAGATTGTAACTACACAACAACTAACAAAATAGTACGATAATCAAAACATAGTAAACAATTAATGATGTGAGACATCAAAAGTAAGAACGTATATGGTTAATACAAAGCAAAGCAATGCAGAACATATATGCAAAGTCCGATCACCTAAACACATGAATAGGCAATATCAAATACAAAAACCAATAATTATATGTACAACAATCGACACGATGCTTTATACTATCACCAAGCCAAATACATAAATACGCTACTAATAAGACAAGTCCTAATTATGTGAAATATTTTTTTCCTCTTGTTTTTCAAATAGAAGTTCACATCTACGATATTGATATTACAAAACGGCATACAGAATTCACACAACTAATTAAATCAAAGTCCTTGTCTAATGTAATTAACAAAAGAATTTTTGCCATCAAGGAATGTGGCAAATCTAGTGAAATTCCTTCAAACTTAATTAAATGTCTCAAGTTAGGAATTTTAAAAATAATTTATTTATTTTTTACAGAAAACTTTTCAACTATCTTAATAGGTTCATTTATACTAATATGAATCTGAATTAATTAGACCAGCGACGTTCAAATATGAAAACTTTCCCCATACAATATTATAGGCAAAGTCTTTGTTCCATATTTTCCATGCAATTGTCTAAAGTCTTTGCCTCATGATGGCAAAAAACATTGGAAAGAAATTCATGATACACATGCATTGAGCCTATTTTATTTAATTTTTTTCTCTATAAATTGACACTAGTCAATTAATTAAACAAAAACTATATATATATATATATATATATATTATTTTATTTTTTAAAATTGTTGAGAAAAATGTTGTATAAAGCTACACTGATCACCTTGTTCATTTTGTTTATATTTTTGGCTGGATTGCTCTTCCCTATAGCACCCACAAGAATGACTACAACAGGTATATATGATTTTTTGAATGAAAAAAAAAATGATCCTATAAATATACTTTTTCATATTTTATTTATCAATCTCCTATGAATAAAATTATATAACTAAAAGAATGTTTCTGATGTACGATATTTCTTTTATTTTGATTTTCAGTAATAGCAAGAGATTTGATACAGATTGATCGTTCTTTAATTGGTGTTCCAAAGGATAATAGTAGTTCAGATCGTCAAGGACATCGTTAACCCTACTAATAGTGGATGAAAGACAGAAATTTCACGATCACTATTATTAATGTAGTATTTTGCTTAGGTCCTTAAGTTTTCGTGTGTATAAGTATCTATGGATTGTAATATTATTTCGTATTATGAATAAATTGCTTTAT